TATTAAGATTCTGATTCATATATTGTCAAAAATGTTGGATGAGCATATTCATACTTGAACGCTAAAATTCCCATGTGTTCTCACGTGATGTGGAGCACATCTCATCTGCATATATGAAAGTGAACCTTTCGCTTCTATGTGTTAATGTAGGTCATTAGCACCTATTTGTGCTCCAGGAAGATTTGGTTCAGGCTGTGCTGGTGTTTCCTATGAGTGTGGAGTGAGCAATTTAAGAGTGCGCGTTAGCATAGTTCAGTGTTGTAGTTGGAACTGTTTTTACATTAATAGACATGTTGCAAGATATCATTTAAAGAAATCCCCAAGTAAGTACAAAAAGAATTGAGTGTGTCTTTATAGCTCTTTAAAAACTGGTTTCTTTGGCGCAGCTGTGTACTTCTTGAAAAGAAATCACACAAAGCCTCTATAATTAAACCATTTTGTGCTGCTTATTATTGCAAAAACCCCACAGAATTTGGCATTGCCAGCTGCTGATCTGTTTGGGCTTGCTCTGTAATTGAGTTCACATTCTTCATTTGTATTTATAATACATTGCTAAATTTGCACTATGTTTAATGTACCACTCCACTTTTCTTCTGCTGTTCCATGAGTGACATGCCTGTGAACAGAAAATGATGCCATTGCTTTTTTTTCTCCAAATCCATTCACCACCACCACCTCTCTCCTGCTGCTGAACAGCCACTGTCAAGAGTTCGGCACTTCTGGCCCCTATGTCTGTCTGTGCAGCTGAAAACCAGTCAGAAAGTTGTATAAGCAGACCCAGCCTGCTGGGATTGATGACCTCATGACACCTTCTTGCTTAAATCTGCATAGAAAATGCTTAGCATTTCTGTAAACAAGATTCTATTTTCAGACAAGTCATGGAGTTGGACAGCTGCATAACTCCATCAGCTGGTACTATGAGCCATAAGAACTTGAGAGAAGCATACTTAAGGATGTATTTATGTGTAGAAGGAGCAAGAGTAATTAGAAAGCTTCCTCTTCAACATAAATAGGTTAAGACAATAATTTGTCATCTAAATTTCATTTTTTAATCACAAACTATGAATTTATGCAAATATAGAAATATTTTTAATATTTCTGATTGAGGCAGAGAAGTATTAGAACTTTTCCCTTATAGACAAGCTCCATTTCCTTAGTTGTTTGAATATTTGCATAAATTTAACTGAAGACTGCAAGCCAACTGAAGGAAGAAAACTGGTCCTTACTTCACACTTCTGACATACATTGATTCAATGTATGTATTGATGCAATGAGAGCAGAAACAAAAATAATGGTAAACTTTCAGCCTGTACCTCTAAACAGATGACTTCACTGTGAAATCTCTTTTTTTTTTCCAATAGAAATACTCCATTGTGCATTCAAAATACTGGTTTCCCATTAAAAAAATTGTGCATTTGCTTAGGAAAATATGTCTCTTGATCTAAAGTTCAGATTCTGATTGTTTTCCATGTAAATAACCAAGCATTTAGAAAACAAAGGAGAACAATCCTTAAGACAATATTAGACTGCAAATGGAAAAGGTGGTTTGGAACCTTGAGGCAACCAGAGAACCTCACTCAATGATTTTAGAACTATTTCAGCACTATTTTGTTAAATAGTTTCTTACATGGAACTTTGTATGGCTACATTAATGTTACTAAAAATGCCACAGTATTAGCGTCAGGGACAAACTAACAAATCCAGGTTAGACCCCTTCTTCTGTCTTAAGTAATATAGATGCTACAGTGTATAGTTGACACATTTTCCTTGATCCTGTTTGGAGCAATGGACAGATAATGTGATTCAAATAGCTTTAAAGCAGACATTTAATTATATTCCGGAGTTTTCAGCTGGAATTCTTTCCAACTTCCAGTCTGACCAACATTTGCTTCACTTTAAGGGTTAAAACGGGGTCTTTTGTTTGCAGAAGTTTAAGGTTTCCTTTCAGTCAAATATAGTTTAACCTTTTTTTGGCCTGGGAAATTTCTGTCGGAGTCACATGATCATTAACTCATAGTACCAATTTTTCAGTTGGTGTGCAAATAACGTCTATAGTCACAATCACTTATTGGCTAACGTAACCTAGAGTGGGTTTTGACTGACATTAGGGCTGTTCTGCAGTGACATTTGTTTTATTCAGAACTGTGGAAGTTAATTCAGACTGCCAGCTAAAAAAAAAGGTGCTTCTCTTTGCTTCAGTTCAAGACCTCAGATTTTTTTCTAAACAACTTTTTTTTAAATCTCATACCATGATCAATACAACCTCTCACTATCAGATGTGTTACAACCAGTGACTGTATAAAACATAACAATGAAATGGAGTCAGACCTGTATTTAGCATGGACATTATTACATTCTTGCATGCTTTCACGTGTTGGACCTCAGAATATGATCCAATGCTTGTAAGGCCTAGGTAAGTGGAGAAACAATACTAGAGAGAGAATGTGTATGTCTATCTGGCTGAAAAGTGGTATGTCTCCACCTGCTTTCACTGTGCATAGTTTTTGCTGTTCCTGTTACTAGAACAAGCCAGGCCTGCAAAAGCCCCAGTGCTGTCCTCCAAATCAAGGCAAGTCAAGAAGTGGAACATGGCGTCTCTGCCATCTCCATTGGCTTTGGCTGTCATGTTTGCACTGATGACTCATGAAGCTTCTTCCATCACTTAAAATTTTCCAGTTGTGGGTGGTAGCTTGCTTGTCTGTTGTCTCTTACTCAGATCCTTTCTCAAGAAATGTGTCCAGCAGGCACTGACCTGTGCTCTGAGGGTTCTCCTTCTCGCTATTGACACTGGTTCCTACCACACAGGTCTTATTCTTTTTTAACTCTTTTTCCCTTATCACACACATTCAGAGCATCTTGTTACATCTTCCCTCTCAACATGTCCAACTCCAGCAACATTCTATAATCCCCAAGATCTCCCTCTTTTTGGCCCTCATTAAATGCCTAAGAGATGGTTAACCTGCTCTGCACAAGCATAAGCTTCCGATGTCTGCTCTGAAGCAAGTCTATTTGGTCCTCCCTGTTTATCAAATGGCCTTCACTCAACCTGCACAGGTAATGTTCCCAGTGATGCTTTTATGCCTTGGCTTTCTCACCCATTTATCTTCTCTAGGCACAACTAACTGCAACTTCATTTATGTATTCTCTGTTCTTGTTTGTAAAGCATTTACGCATTCTCTGTTTTCAAGTTCCTCAGAAAGACCTGCTTCTGAAATAGTCCAGCCAGCAAACAGTGAGGTGTGTCAAGCTGAATACAGGTTTAAAATGTCAAACCACTTTATTCTTGCATAAACTGTTTAATTCAAGGTTTGAGTCTTGGATAAATTTGTTGTTGCAGTTCCTTAGTTTTCTGTTGAGAAAAAGATGCTTTTCATAGACAATACAAAATAAATACAACCTATGGAGTCCGTGTGTGCGAGGGACTGAGGGAATAATAAATCTTTGATTAGATTTAAAATTAAAGATATTAAAAAAAAATCTTTACAGACCATTGCTATTTCTAGCAACCTTTTTCAGTTGAAATTAAAACCATGCAAGACACTCTTTCAGCATTCCTCTAAACACATTGATAAGCAAAGCTGCAAATTTTAAATTAATTATTTGATTTTTGTTAAAATAAAGCAGTTCAGGTGAACCCAAGTTAAGTCTGTCTTGAATTTTCAAGGTTTGTGAAAATGCCATTTCCAGTTCCCTAATCTAAAACACTTTTTTTTAAATCTGAAATTGCCTCTGCACCAAAGAGATGGGATTTGCATCCCCCCCCCCCCCCCCCCCCCCTTCTTCATTCTGAAGAACTAATTTCTCTCCCAGATTGTGAGGAACTGTGTCAAGTGTGGAGGAATTTCCCAAATACTAATGCTGCTTATGACAATAACTGCTCATAATAATTTTAAAAAACTCTGTGCTGAAATGCTTTGATGTTTGTCTTTCAAAAATATTTTATTTCCAAAATGTTCTTAATGAAGCTTCATTTCATCACAGTTCTTAACATCAATGCACCCATGGCTGTATGCACTCTTCTTTTTTTTTTTTTTTTATGTTGTCATCAGATTCTTACCACTGCAAGTTAGTGTGACATAGAGATGGTACTGATTTTATACATATTTGCTTAATAATATTTTTTTTTCTTTGATGCAGTAAGGCTTACTCTGAGCATGGCTGGAAGAGCTACATAACACCTATCAGGTGCCCAATGGTGAAGGAAGCTAAAAAAAAACCTGAACACCAAAATGAAACAAAACAACTCAGTACAAATTGCTGTATTACCGTTTCTTTTTTTAAGCCTGAAAGCCTGTTTCTTATTAGTCAGTAATTGTTCAGCAGTACAGCCATCACATTTGCAGTTGAAGGGAAACATCTCTCTATACCTGAGGCATCATTTGTCTATAGAAAATTAATCCTAGTGCATTCTCATAAAAATCAAACAAATTGCTTTTTGAGGGGTTGCTGATTAGGTGGGTTTAGCAAAATTAACAATAATAAGGTTATTGGAGAGAGTGAAAATACAAGCATAAAGCAGACAAATTGAGGGTGACTTACGTCATGTGCAGAACTCCTTTGAACCAGCTTAGTCTCTCAGTCCCCATAGACTGAATATAGGAGACAGGGGAACGTGTCATTCTTTCTTGCTGTGCCCATGTGGCCAGAGTGACATAGAGGCAATTACTTGCATCTAATAAAAGGGTTTGCAAGTCACTGGGTTGCAACTAAAAGTAAAAATTATAAGAAACGCTGACTCAAAGGGGAAGCTGAGTATTTTCCTATGGTGGTGATGGTTTTAGGAGTACACATTTCCTTCAGGTAGGTACAATTGTGAAAAAGAGTTTTGCCCTTTGGACGCCATAGGACCTGGAGACATGATGATGAAAAAAGATAGTGACTGTAAAGATGTTATGAAAGTAGTGAAATAGCTCTGAGGATTCCCAAAGAACACTCAAATAGAAGTGCCAGGAGACTACATAGGGGGTTGTGTTTTGTCTTCCTTAACTATGGATGTTCAGATATTGATCAGTGGAATAAAGTTATTGAGCAGCTGGGAACACCCTGTCCAGAATTCATGAAGAAGCTGCAGCCAACAGTACGGAACTATGTTGAGAACAGACCCAAGTATGCTGGCCTCACTTTCCCCAAACTTTTTCCAGACTCTCTCTTCCCAGCTGACTCAGAACACAACAAACTCAAAGGTATGTATGACAAAGAGATGCAGTTCAGATGTCAAAAGCTACAGTGCGATGAAGTGGGGATTTTTGGTCACTTTTCCTTCTCTCTAGTTTCATTTGCTTTTAATGGAGTTAGTTGCAGAGACAAATATCTGCATGGGTTTTGTTCAGCTGAGAGGCAGCTTTTAGAAATGATTTTTGGAGGCCCCAGTGCTTAGCCAGCCAAGGGAACATACATTATCACTGATGCGTTGAGCATACCCCTATGGCCATTCTGCTTGACCATGAGAATCTGAGGTGTTCCTATACTCTTATTCTTAAACTTGTCAAGCAAAGAAACATTAGAACTTCATTGAAAGATGTTAGTGCTTGCACTTTTTTTTTTTTTTAGGTAAAAATTATCAGTTCAGCCAGATTCCTGCCTCATGGCTCTACCTTTACTAGGCAATAAAAAGATATTAGCAATTATCAGCCATGTAACTGGGGTTTAATGTCTGCTATTGGTGGATTTCTTTAGAAAAATGCTGTGAGTCTGTTTGTATATGTGAATTAGAGCACCAACTTATTTTCAGTGTGATGAGATATACCCCTGTAAAATATAAGTTGCAGTGGTTTTAATCATATATTGAAGTCTTGTTTTACCTGAACAGGGGATCGACCTTAACTAGAAAGAGATGAATGTGTGTTTAGTATAGAAAGGATTTCTTATCACAGCTCTGGCACCCTGCAAACTTGTACTGTGTACCAGTTCTGCACCACTTGAATATTTGGGGCCTCTTACTACTGTGGCATGTAAAGGTTTTCAGTTGCTTGCAATTTGCATGTCATTACATTATTTAGAATACTCTTTCAATTAACAACTGTTTCATAGTAAGACTGCTGTCTTGGCTCTGGAACTGAAAGGTCTGAGTAGATGCTTTTGGATACACAGAATTTTATATGCTTACTACAACACAATTGAATAATGGGATTTTCTTGGATTTGGAGCTAATGACTAGAAATTGCTGTTAAACAGTGCTGTTATCTTTTGGATACAGTAAGCACGTGCATTTGAGCATACTGGATGCCAGTTTTCAAGATATAGTCACAGAATATAAACCAGTGTATTACAAAAAATCTGCTTGTGTGCCACTGTATCATCCATGCCCTACCTAAGTATTTCACCAGAGTGTAATGTTAATGTTTTAATTAGATATTACTTTTACTCAGCCTAATAATATTTATGCACTTACATCTCTTTTTTTCCTTCATTTTCTTTTTCATTGACACAAGAAATAATCTTGAGCATGGAAGAGCTTGGAATATTATGTTGATAGTAACACTAGAAATATACGTTGTTGTAATTTTTTCACATGAGTTTATATTTGTTGCAAACTCTAAATGGTAGAAACAATTTGGGTAATAGAAGGATGAGCCTGTGTCCTGACAGGCACAATGGGCTACATTATCAGGTAAATAACATAAAATACAAAGGTATATTTAAGGCTGTGCATTTCAGTAATGGAGGATGATGTATCCCACTGATTTAAACTTTGTTATGTGGGACAAACAAAACTTAAGCAGTTACTAGGTACTTCTATACAATTATGTATTGATCCCAGGCTGCAGGCTTGACATTATTGCCTCTAATGCGTTGTGTCATTGTTACTTTCCTAACCCAATTGACCCTTCACTGTAGGCAGTGATTGTTTTGTACTAATACTGTGTTTATCTGATTTCGTTGTTCTAGCCAGCCAAGCCAGGGACCTTTTATCAAAGATGCTAGTCATTGATCCAGCCAAGAGAATATCAGTAGATGAAGCCTTACAGCATCCATACATTAATGTCTGGTATGACCCGGCAGAAGTGGAGGCGGTAAGTGAGGCATGATTCCTTACTTCAGATTACTAAATGCAAATATGATTCATAGATTCCTGCTGTTTTACAGCAGCTTGATAACGAGCGTGCTATAGAGAAACAATGTTGTGACTGTGGGGGTCTTTGGATTTACATGAAATGAGATCTGTAGGGACAGGAGATATCTCTTTGTTAGATGAACTGACAAGAGATTAGAGAAGCAGAATCACTTCAAGCATATGAAGCCATTTTCGGCTTTCTTCTAGATCACATGAAGAAAGGGGTTTGAACCTAGTAGCTCACCTGGTTTTGTTAGCTATGTAAGTCAGTCTGGCAAAAGATGCTGTCTTTCTCTCTAAACCTTTTCTTGTGGAAAACAGAAAACACCGCTTCCTGTGTTTGTGTTTAAGGATATATGTGGAGAGGAGAAGAATTAAACAAAACAATAAAAAGTCCTGAAGTCAGGATTCCAAAAAATCTTGGCAGGATACAAGTTATTCCTTAAAATGAAGCAGGAGTTCATGTGTTTTCTTGAGCCATGGTTCAATGTTCTCTATCATGTACACTGTGTACAAACAGAAATGGATTTTTTCTTACGATCTTGTCATGCTCTAGACACCTCTCCACATACCTTGATGAGACTGGTTTTAACAAGAATAAGTGCAGTCAGTAGGCACTTCAGTGACATAACAGCTATAGGTACAAATTTACAGTTGTTCCCTGTAATACAATGTATTAAATGTATGAAAACAGTGTATTTCAAAAGGTTTAGAGATCTTGCTTAACCACAACAGGAAACAGAGTTGACCCTTGCAAAATTAAATCACTGCTGTTTAGTTATATGGTCCAATTCAGTGTGTGGTCCTGAAAGTGCAGTAAACTTCAAAAGCAAATGAAATGCACAAAACCCCATCGGATTTCACATGTGCAGGAATTTCACAGAGTATGTTACTTAGGAGTGCTTTACAGGGGATGGTTCTGCTATAGATAGCCTTTAATTTTTATGTCCTGTTTGGTTTTCTTCAAGAAGAAAGTTTATCAGTCTGACGTTCAAACATTTGATACTTTGAAATATTTTACCAGCTGGCACGTACATTTTAGTTTAGCATCCTTCTCAAAGATGTCATTCCGTTCCCAGACACTTCTGTTGTATTTCCATGGATTTCTTAACTCCGCCTTATCATCTACTCTGTTGTCAGAGCTCGGATTTGTCTCTCTCTTTAGATGTGCTTTGCCTGTGAATTTAACCATGGGGATCCACTTCTGACACAGAACAGGAAGGGAATTTGGTGCAGTGGATATTTTGATGTAATTGTTTGCCCAAAACATATGCTTTTAGTTGTGTTTCAGACTGAAGTAGAATTCTTGTCATGATGAAGCTGCCCTTTTAGAAGGAGAAACTTGCCACACACAACTAGAATTACAGCTGATATTGAACCTTGTATTACTGTCTTCTTATGCAGACAGAGATCGGGGTACTTCTACGGTTGAAAAGACAATGATTTAATTTCTGACTGTAGCATACAGTCCTCAAATAATCTATAATAAACCACATCCTTTCTCTGGATCATGACTGTAAGACAGGAATAATACTTTTGGCCAGGTGAATTGACGGGAATCTAATGAGCTCTCTAGCTTTCAAAAGCCTGCAGTAATTATATTCTAGTTCATTGAGGTATTAGTCTCACAGGCACCTCCTGTCACCATAGATACCTGTACAAGCATTATGCCACATGCTGTCAAATCGCATTTTTTGCATTTTCACTGTTGTCTGTATTTTATTGCCTAGTAAATGACTACAGAAAGTGTAAAGCAGCAGAAAACCAAGCTGTCATTCATCCTGTTGAACCTCAAAGAATAGCACCTTGAGCTTCCAACAGCTCAATATTGTCTAAGTTTGCATCATTGAACTGCATTTTAGATACAGTTCCTCTGTTCCCTTTACTCACCTTGTTTCCTGCAGTTATTGTGTAGTTAACATGAGCTGAACATCAACATCCTGAGCTTCTTTCTCTATCTCTCTTAGCTTCAAAGTTTTCTCTTCCAAAACAGGCTATACCTTGTCAATAATATACTATAGAAAGACACCAATACTTTCGACTTCAGTGTTTTGACAGTGATGTGTTACCAAATTTCTTTGACCCCAATCACACTAGGGTACAGAGACCCTTCTCCTTCATGGGACCGTATCATGTTAAAAAACAGGCAGGTTCAGACTGTGTGCGGTGTAACCCAAATAGAAGAACATGGGATTAATAAATATTCATTGTATTTTCTCAGAGTGCTAAGAACTGTAGAAAGAGCCTGGCTTGCCTTTAAATTCATTATTTTTCCATTCTCATTTTCAGAGGGAAAGTTAAACTGGAGGACTCTTCTTTATTTTATTTTTTTCAATTAACAGTTTATTAAATTCTAAATTTCCACCTGTTCATGCTGACACACCTTCAGTGGCTAGCTGTGAATCATTTACTAATTATTTTCTGGAGAAAACTTAACTCATGTATTTAGCTGCTGAAGTGCACTCAGTCTGTGTTTTTCATTGGCATTGTCTCAATGATGGAGTAACTTTCTTAAACAGATTCATGGGAGATGATTGGTGGCTTTCTATTCTTCCTCAAAAGAATGTCCTGAGGTTCTGGGACTGCTACTAACCAAGGCAGTGCCCCTATGAGGGGTAGTTATTGCTACACTGGAAAGAAAGTTTTACTGGTGTGTCTGTGTTAAAACTTAGCAATTCTGCCTGAGCACTTGATATCTGATCAGCTGTTAGCTCTTTACAAGACAGCAAGGTATCTGTATGTGATAAACTTTTCTTCTTCTTCATGGACTGCCCTGCAAGTGTGCAGGCTGGGGAACCTGACAAGACCCTGATAAGGACAGAAATTAGGATACAGAGATATTAAATGATTTTTTCAAGCAGTGTACAGTTGGGTGGGATTTAGTTAACTTAGTTAACTTGGGAGCTCCTTCTCCCCAGTAAATGGCTTCATCAAAATGGTTAGGCATTTGTTGCACTGTATTCATTTGGTACAGAAGCCTAAGTGGACAGGTAACACATTGAAAGTGACAGGACTTTTTAAGTGATCTGTTGCAATGTCATGAAATGTCAGTGTGTGCTGGAGTAGACCATGAAGAGCACTGAAAACAGCACTGGGAATAAGCAGAGAATTTGATGTCAGAGTTTAACGTGGAGATAATGATTCTCTGAATCTGCCCAGATTTACAGCATTATGAATGTGAGGGTATTAGACAAAATAGCCTTGTGCTGCCCTGTTAAAAGCAGACTAGTGAGACATTTACAGTTCCTTTTTATTAAGTCTATTAAAAGTTTATAGTCTTTCACAGGCTGTAGGGGGCAATAAAACCATTATGTCTCATTCTAATGGACAAAGACTATAAAACAAATGGGAAATGGTAAGAATGTGATACCCTTTACACCAGTATGTAACAGCATTAAACTCTCCTGGTCAACCTTCAATGCCATGCTGTGATTCCCTGATACAGAGAAGAAGATGTTATTAAATGTGGTACTTGCTACTCACTAACAGCAGGAGGTTACACAAACAACACTGTGACTCTCCCACAGACTTCAGCATAAAAGCAAACCACATCCAAAGCCCTCCATAGCTCTGAAAAAAATTAAGAGATTTATATTTAGAAACAGGCCTTGCATGGTTTTTAAGCTTACCTGCAGAATGAGTGGGTAAGCTACATTTTGGATTTAGCGAAAACTCTTATGTCTAACATACTAACCTGTTTAGCCACTTCTTCTGAGACTGCTCAGCTTGTTGCAGTATCATTTATAATAAAGCCACAGTGTTAGGTTTGGTAGAGCATCCTTGCTCTGAAATTAATTTGAATAGTGTTACAGTTAAGGTAATTTCTATATTCAACCAATTATAACTACAATTTTTTTTAAATATGCTAATATACACATATGTTTATGAATATGTGGAATTCCCAAGATTTTTACATGCCTTTTTACAAGGGCATGTAGTGACAGAACAAGGGGGAAATGGCTTTAAACTGAAAGAGGGGAGATTTAGGTTAGATATTAGGAAGAAATTCTTCACTGTCAGGGTGGTGAGACACGGGGACAGGTTGCCCAGAGAAGCTGTGGATGCCCCATCCTTGGAAGTGTTCAAGGCCAGGTTGAGTGGGGCTTGGAGCAACCTGGTCTAGCGGAAGGTGGTCCTGCCCATGGGTTTGGGGTTGGCACTGGATGATGTTTAAGGTCCCTCCCAATCCAAACCATTCTGTGATTTTAGGAAGTGTTGAAATCTGTTATCAATCGTCACACCTAAGTTATACATAGGGAAACCAGAGTTCAAAGGGGAAAAGTATTATTTGCTAATATTATGCAGGAAATCTAATGTAAAATCAGAAGAGCAGAACAGGAACCTATAAACCTTACTTCTCTGTTTTATACTTCAGTTAAAGGTTGTTTCTTCCTATATCTTATATGTAGAAACTGTCTTGAGTCCGCTTTTAAACAAATATTATGCGTATTACCCTTGTGCTATATTTACTTTACATACAGAACAGCATTTGGGCTATTACAATGAATAAATGACACATACAATACCTTTTCTCCTTCCAAGTGCTCTTGCTCTATTTTTAGGAAAGATGACATTTTTAACATCTCTTGCCTCCACATATAGAATATGCTGTTTAATGTAGATACTCTTAGTATTTCCCTGATGGTATATTAGCTTTTCTGCTTTCTTGTCTGAAAATGCTATGTTTTAGACATTTTCTTTTACACAGCTGCCTTTTTTGAAGTTGCTATAAGTTCTTACCCATCATTGAGATCATCTGTGAATAAATCCCAAATCTGATATTTAGTTTTTCACATCTCCCCCTATGTTTATGCGATGCTGCCTATATGTCAACAGAATGGTTTCCTAGATACATGGTTTAGAATATTTTTTAGCTTTGCCACCTGGTGGCTCTAGGTGGCTCTGAAATCAAGTTTCATAAAACTTGCGCCAGTTGCTCGCTAGGACTGCATTGGCTTG